TCATGCTATCATCAGAATATTTCTATTTTATTTAATTTAGTAACTCAATGTTTATCATACCAGTATAAAAATGCTTGTCCTCAAGTTTTACACACAATATCTACATTTTTCAAAGTATGAATTATTATTGTAAAATTGTTTTTATAAACATTATGATTTATTTATGATATTACAGTTTTATGGAAAATGTGCTCCCAATATATTCCTGGAATGTATAAAATCATTGGGACAGCTTAGGGATTCCAATGAAATAACATTTGTTAATGAATTGGAAATGACAATTGGAGCCGGTATCAGGTATATTGGGCCTGAATACATCATATCAGATAAAGTTATTCCATTAAAGGTATATATTATTTTACAGTGAACACTTTCTTAACTTTTAGTAAAATAACAATATATTGTATTTGTGTATACATACTTTTTCAGGTATTGTGTTTAGTAAATATGCAAATCTTATTTAACTTTTTATTATTTTAAATTTACAAATTATGACTTAATTATGATGATTATTATTATACTTAGCAAAATAACTTCTCTAAAATTTCATCTAGAACCAATATAATATAATATTAAGAGCTGATATTTAAAAATATTTAAGTATATTTTTCTTAAAAAAATATTATCTGTCTTAATAAATAAAAACAATCACGTATTAATAATTGTTAGCCAGGTAAGTGTCTTGCCCTATTTAATATAACTTTTTGAAAAAAAACTGTTGGTGTTAAACTGACTTTTTATATCTATATATATCTAAAAATGTTTTTTTAATTTATACAGTCAATTTTAACAATTATAAAAAAAAAACTTTATTCATTAATTAAATATTTTTCAACCAAAATGATAAAATCATCTGTAAAAATTTTAATCTAAATTTTATTTTAGGTGGACGATGTTGGAGAATTTAAGCGTAGTTGGTTATTACCTGTTTTAAAAGATAGTATTTCAAATTCTACCCTAAAATGCTTTATAGACCACTTTTTACCTCTGGCATTAAAATGTCGGTAAGTACTCAAATCTAAAATATTTAAAACATATTTCTGATCTATTTTTATATTTGTTTTAGAGAAATGTATGAAAATGCTTTAAAAGCTAATGATAAAATAACTGCCATTAGTTATGATCTTCTGGAATCACAGATTTGGTCTTTATTGGCGAGTTTTTGTTCAAATCCTTCTGATATATCCACATCTTTTCGGGTAAGATAAACCTAATGCATAGATATATCCCATTCAAATTAACTAACTATGTAAACTAATTAATTTTAATTATTTGATGTTAAGTTATAATTAATTTAATTAGTTATGTGTTTTTGTATAATTTAATTATAAATTTAAAGGGTAAGTTTTCCCAATTTTTATTTTTTTATTAAAATTATTATCATTTATTATTATTTGTGAAATAATTTGAATTTAAGTTTAAAAATTTTATTGGCTCCCCTGAAAAATTGTAAAAATAGAGTTAATGTTATCTTTTTGAGAGTCGCCTACAATTAAACAATCAGTTAATTTTTAGAGAAATAAATAGACAATTAATTAGTGTATTTACTCAGTTAGTCATTTCTATTTATATAAATCTTAATATATTAAACAAATTTTTAGATTATTGCCAGAACAATGGGTACTATGTTAAGCACTCGTAAGGAGTTACGAGATACAATTCTTGTGTCATTAAGGAAACTTATAGATTCTGTTTCTAAGAATGATGAAGCAATGGATGATAAAAAGCAGTTGTCTTATTTTGCAAAAAACTTTTTACCAATTTGTTTGAATTTATATACTAACCCTGCTCATGGTACAGATGAACAAGCTACTAGATTTTCTGCGTTGGAAACAATCAAAGTAAATTAAAATTTTTTTTTAATAAATTTAATGATATTATTACTTAGTTGTTTCAATTTACTATTACAGATGTATTTGACACTGTCAGACGATGAAATAAAAGAACAGTTATTTAATAAATGTTGTAGTATGCTGGATAATTCTAAAGATGCAGAACACACAGTGATAGAAAGCATTCTTGATATTATTGGAGTATTAGTTCCTTACCAATCTATTAAAACATTAAAATCATTTTTTGATTCTCGAATTTCTAAAGTTAAACAATTAAAAAATTTCAAAGAAGAAAAAAAATATTTTAGGTACTTATTTAATATTTATTTGTATGTGTGATATATATGAATATAATATATACACATTTATATATTTATTATTTAATAATAACGTTCAAAATGATAGAAGTGCAATTTTTTTAACAGGATTCTGGAAGAAATAAGCAGTTCTAAGTCTCCAACTTGTAATAAGTTTGTAAAAAAGAACTTTGAAAATATACAAAATTTTATAATATCAACAGCTCAAAATGTTGCTGCTACCAGTCGTGGGGTAAATACTTATATTTTCAATGTCTTACATTTCTTACCTATCAATATTTTTTAATTTATATTTTTAGCCTCGATTACGATGTTTAGCACATCTTTTAGATCATTCTGATGAAGATAATATAATTCAAAATATATTAGCTCATCTCCCTGAAGCTGTACTTTGCTGTAAAGGTTCCACCGTTAATAAAAGATGTCGTGAATGTGCTTTTTCATTGATTAATAAAATGGCTTTATTAGCAATTAAAGTTGAAAACGGATTAGAAAACTTTTTAAATGCTTTATCAGCAGGATTAGCTGGTTCAATTCCTATGATCAGTTGTACTATTTTAGCATTGGCTTCAGTTCTCCATAACCGTAAAAGTATGTTGTAAATTTTAAATAAAATAAAAAATAGTACATGTATTGATTTTATTATACTATATTTGTTTTAGATGAAATTAATTCAAATCAATTTGAAACAATTCTAAGTAATATTTGTTTACTTATTACAACTGGAACTAGAGAAGTAGTTAGCTCTGCTTTAAGTTTTATCAAAGTGATTATTACTTCATTTTCCAATGATCTGATGCCTCACCTTTCAACAATTGTAAGCTAAGTTATTATTAAATATTAATGGTGTGTTGTTCAATTAATTTTTGTATTTACATGAATATCAAATATTTAAAAAATAATTATAAACAAGTTTATGAATAAACTGATTACATATATCCATTAAAAATTATTTTTTAGAGGTATATTTAAATTAATAATTATATTACTTAGAATTTTCTAACAAATACATTAAATAATAACAAGTTATATCTATTTATAGCTAACAATGAAAATGAAATATTCATTCATATTTATAGACATAATTATTAATTGTATAATGTTCTTACTAAGTACAGTAAAATTGAAATGTGTTATTTATTTTTAGTTAACTTCTCTTTCAAAAATGACAGATGATTGTAAACGAAAATTTCGTCAAGAAACTAAAAATATATATCAAAGACTGGTACGTAAATTTGGTACAGACCTTATTATAAAATTGGTACCGAATACTGATGTTCAAACACACGTACGTTTACGTGCTATATACAAAGAATCTGAACGATTAAAGAGAAATAAAGAAAAAAGAACTAAAGAAAAAATAAGTGATAAAGCTGATATTGATTTTAGTCTTAAAACTAAACCCAAAACGTATGTATAAAATATTTTATTTTGCTTTTTTTTTTTTAAATTAAGATTATTAATAACAAACTATTTTTATTGCCTTGTTAGATTTGAAGAGATTTTAGCAGAGTGCGAAGAAGATGATGAATTAGAAACTAGTATCAACCAAAAACCAAAAGCTAAACTAGAAAAAGGCAGAAAGAAAAAATCTACTGAGAATTATTTACATGAAAGTGAAGATGATATATTAGATTTTACAGAAGCAAATTCAAATAGAAAAATCTTAAGTAAGTTCAAATTTATAATTTGTGTTTTTTTAATAATTTTTTCTTATGTTAAGTGTCAAAACCTAAAAGTGAACGTAATACAAGTATTCAAAAGTCATCTAATGTTGATGATAATATACAAACTGCACCTGATGGACGTCTTATAATTACTGATGAACCTCAAGCACCTCCAACAAAGTCAGGTAATACTATATATATTATATGGATCTTTGTTTTTAATATTAGTTGAAACAATTACCATTATTTGCTGATATATATTTTTTTTGGAATATTTTAAATTATCTATTACTATAATTTATAAAAAAAGATAGGATTTTGATGATCTAAATAATACACAAAAATAAAACTAAAAAGAATTTGTAAAAATGTCATAATTTTCAAAAATAAATTTAATAAATCATCATAATATGAGTGTATTTAACTAATTGAAAAATGTATTATATAAAAAAAAAAAAATATGCATTATACATGAGTAAAAATTTGTTTTAAGCAATAAATAAAATAAAAATCTATATAAATTTAAGTTTATTTGAACATTTTTGCACCACTGTCAGCTCATAAAACTGTAATCGACATCTTAGTTGACTTAATTTTAGGAATTTTTATAACTTTAAATGAATATTATTAATATTATTTATTTGAAATTAACTGCAGTTTAACAAACAGTATATCACATATCTGTTTAAAACACCACTATTTTATTATTTTTTTTTTTTTTTGTATTAAATAGGTATTGAGGAAGATGAAGTTGACGACAACTACAGTGATGATGATATGCCATCAAAAAAACGATTAAAATATACACGTATGTTCAATTTAATATTTTTCTTATAAATACTAATAACAATGTACATTTCAGCTGGTGGCAAAGGTATTCATCGACCATTAGATAAACATTTAGGAAAAGGAAAGATAAATAAACAAATGAAGAAGAATAAAACTCAAAATCAACCGCAAGGATCTTACAATAAAAACAAAGGAAAGAAATCTAATGGAAGTGTTCGTCCATTTTCTTATACTGATTTCAAAAGTTACGGAGCTTCAAATAAAAAAAGGAAAAGAAATTAAAATATTTGTTAATAATGCAACATAATATTGTCTTATTGTTGATGATTGAGTATTTAAAATTAAATAAATAAATAACACTTAATTTGTTTGTGCCTATAGTATTTATATTATTTTTAGTAAAATTCTTGATTATTTGAATCAAATTGAATTAAATCAGGACAAATGCCTATTTTTCTAATTAAATCTTCTATAGTTTGAATACTTGAATTTTCATTTTCATTTAATTTATTAAATAGTGTTGTCAACGCCTCTTGACAAACATTTAACCATTTTTTTGATAGCTTTTTTATTTCATCTAAATTATGCTGAAAAAAAATATACGAGAAACAGTTAATTAAATTAAAATAATAATATAAAGGTTATACAATTATAACAAAAAACATTATCGTGCTAAAATTAAAAAAATAATATAACTAAACTTATTTGGATTACATTGAACCAATTTTTAGATAAATACAAAGACAGTTGATATTAAACATCATTTTTTTCAAAGTATAAATATTAAATACTGGCTAACTGATTAGGATAATCAAGAATTATGTTTTTAAAATGTATTGAATTACAATATAAACAAGTTAATTAAAAATTAAAATTAAATAGTAAAAACTACTATATTCTATAAAAATTAAATTTACCTACTCTACCAATAAAAATTAGTTATATTTGGGTATCTCCTATTAATATTACTGATCACAAACACTGGTATTAAACATTGTAGAATTACAATGTGTATATTATGTAGTGAGCTGTTATATTTTATTATTTTCACAACACTAAGCTCAGAGGTCTACCATGTAATTAAGTAAAAAAGGTTCACAAAAAAGAATAGCATCAAAAGCTATACATGTACTATCGCATATTCTCACATATGAATTTAAATACAAACTAAATCTACAAACATTTAAATTATTTATTTATTTTTAATTGAAATGTGGAAAAGTTGTTAGGGCCTACCGTGCAATTGCACATTTATATGATAGGCTAGTCCAATCCTGACTAGGTTCAACAGTCAGTTGTAGGTGTGTGAAAAAGTGAGTAAACTTAATTTGAGAAGAGTATATTATAAGCACACTAGATACAAATGTGTAATTGTTCTAGATAATTTTTAAATGATTATATATTTGGAAAATATCAAGGTTATTTAACTTGTAGTTTGGATTGAAATCAAAAATACATTCCTTAAACTTGATTAAAAACAAATTAAAATTTTTTTTAAATACTAATTAAAAATAATACTTAAATATTTTAGTTAAAACAAGATTTAACATTTTAAAAAAAGTTGTATGCAGATTATTAGGGATAGTTTAGTTAAATGGTACTTAAATTTTAATACTAAATAAAAAGAAAATAATAGTATTTATTTTATTATTTTAGAAAGGATTAAAGAATATATTTATGACATTTTTAGCTCATCTTTTATTATGTAAGGTTTTGAGCACATTACAACTATCAATGCCTAATATATATCTTTAAAGGATCAATTCAAATAATTATCCAACCTGTTCACTATTTTTGAGTTCCGATTTGAGCTCTTCTATCATACGACGTTTCTCTAATAAATTCGATGTTGTTTCATCCTTACACTCCAACTTTGGAACTGATTTGTCTTCATCTTTAACATTTAATGTTGTTGAATTTTCAGTTAATTCAGTGGATTTTGATGTTTCATCACTAACTTTTATTTTCTTCAAAACAGTTTTGGGGGTTAGTATACCTGTGGACTTCCTCTTGAGTCCTACTCTACGACAAGGTGTATACAATTTGTTAGTATTACTTGACAGCTTACATAATGTTGGTGATAGAACAGGATTTTCATTATCAGACATTTTATTCTATTGATAGTTTTTAGTTTTTCAATCGTAGATCTAAATAAAAATTAAATAATTTACTACTTTATAAGTAGATAATTTACATATTATGATTTGTTTAAAAAAATCACTAAATTATAAGTGAGAATCAGTAATATTTTAAATTAAATAATAGAGTAATATTGAAACTTAGAATTAATGTATATAAGTGTATTAATAAGAAATTAATTGTGATTTATGGATCAAAATCAATGATAAACTAATTAATAGAACTAAATAGGTACTTGAAAATAATGCAGTTTTAAAGAATTTTTTGTTTGTTATAGGGTTTAAAAATTGTAAACGTATTTATTGTAGTGCGAATATTTTTGGGCTAATACAGATTTCTGGATTTTGATAACAGTGAGATATTATCAAAATCTAATTTCAGAAAACCGGTTTTGCCAGCCTTAGAATAAGAATAATAGAATCATGAATGTCCCTTGCTAAAAAATAGTTTTTCCACCGCGATGTGTAGGAATTAGGAATTATAAGGTTTGCTATTTCACGTGTACAGTGTACGTGTACTCGAGAATACTTTTATATTTAATTATTTAAATATTGGTATTATATTCGTTTTGTATTAGCATATATTTTAGAATAATACTAATGAATATAATTTCCCTATGTATAAAAGTTTTGATTATAATGTTTAATGGGTTAGGATCGGAGTATTGGGCCATGGGGGTGATATAATTCAAGAGAATTTACTTATTTACTCTGGTTCGATTCTAAACCAGAATATTATATTTTTGAACATGCTTCATAACTCGTAAGCTATTTTATTATTAGCTATTTAATATGAAAACAATATTGTTAAACACTATGCAGTAATATTGTATATTCACTATTCTCCTATATTAAATGTACACAGGTACGTAATTTATTTTTCAATGGTCGTAAGTTATTTTTATTATAAATGTTTTGAATATATGTTGATCAATGATCATTGATTACTAATATTTGAAATAATAACTGGTACATATTTTGTGATGACTGGTAAACAATAAAAATGTGTACCTACACTAATTAATGAGATAGATGATATTATAAGTGTTAAGAGTTAAAACTTACAATTACAAACAAATAAATTCAAATGATAGATGTCTTAATAGTTTTTAATTATTAACATTTGCTGTAAATTACTTTTATTCTCATTTTGGTCGAATGTATGATAAGATGTTTATTTTTGAGAAAAAAATTAACAATTTAATATAAGGTTCCTCATAGTTTGTTCTTATTGCAATTTGAAAATATCAAAATTATATTTGCACAATTTTTTATTACACCTGTATAAGTACTATATATGTTGCTAAAATTGTATATTTTTATGAAAATTATTGATTTTAATTATCTATTTTGTTGTAAGTTATTCCATTAATATTAATTGAAAACACCATTTTGTGTATTATTATTTACCATCAACAGAGAACTGAGAAATGTTCAAAATATTATGTAGATTAATTTTAACCTGTTCATGCCACAAACCTATTGACGCCGATCGGTAACATCGACTTATAATTCAATAACTGCTAGTAAAAATACACGAATTAATATTAAAATATATAATTTCTTATAAGCGATTTGTTTTTGGAATGAATTACTTATTAGTATAAGACTAATTAAAAACAAATGTTTTTAAAGCCTAAAACTTTTTAAGATTTATAGTTATAAATTTTAAATTGTGACTTACATGCTTATGAGTTATGAGTTATGATTGTTATGAAGTTCATTTATATTTTTATCTAGCTATTCAGCTCATTGAGTTCTCTATGTCTCTATATAGTATGTTATTGTTATATCCTGTGATATTACTTTATGATTCAGTTATTGCAATGATATCTATATTAATTATATTATCTAAAAACCGGCGGATTTTTATGATGATACGTTATCACCTCTGTGCCCAAAATATTGATAATAAAGTTAATAATTTTATTTAATACTGTTTTATTTTAATGGTTATAATAATTAATAATAATAATTAATAAGTTAAATGTTAGTAATTAGTAGTACCTTAATCTTTTGAATTCGATTTTGTGAGAAAATATTTTTTTTTGTTATTAATATCAAAATAAAATAATATTATTTTAACTTTTCAGTAAATATTTGGTTACATGTTACCACTGTCTCGTCTGTAGGTAGAAGGCTTGATATTTTATAGAAAAATCCAACTATGTTACATAGGGAAGTGTTTAAACCTAAAAGTTTGAAAATATCAACCACGTTTATCGATGCTGATGGGAGAGAAAAACAGGTACGTATAAGATGATGTCAAACTCACATTTGTTGTCTTCATCTTGTAAGTGTATACATAGCAAATTTACTCTCAACAGTTCATATTATTTTTGATGCTTTAATACTAAAGTGAATCATGAAAGTAAATGGTAAAATCATAATCTGTGTTTGTATCATGGTTTTTTATGATAATTCTGTTTTTAAACAGGTTATAAACTTTTTTAAATTACATTGTTTTATACACTCAAAATTTTCTAAAAACTTAACATATACACTTTAATTATGTTTTTACTATTGTGTTCCATTATAGATCGATGATCAATGCACTTTAATATTAAAGTTAACAAAGCTAAACTAACTGCTGAATGTGAATTTGCATGTTATTCATTTGTTAGACAAAGAAAACAAATGCTGGTATAGCGACCTCTTATGAAATATGGAATAGTATAAAATAGAATAAATGTGATTAAGATGGCGTTTCATTGTTTTTAATATTGTTAATTACATTTTCAGATCGAAACTAGAGAAGATGAAGAACAGTCGCAGAAACTGCAAGAAATCATAGATCTGTTAATTGCAGCTGGATATTTTCGTGCTAGAATTAAAGGCTTATCTCCATTTGATAAAGTATGATTGATACATTTTTATTTTTTAGTGTAATAATTATATGGTATGTTTATTTAATACATGTTCATGTAGATTGTTGGAGGTCTTACATGGTGCATAGATAATTGTAATGTTGACTTGGACATTGATTTGCACTTCGACGAATCATTAGTTATTGGACAAAAGATGTAAGTTTTGATCTTATTTTAATGTAGATTTATAAATATTATTTAAAAAACTAAATTATTATTGATAGATCACTCACAGAAAAAATTGTGTCTGTCCTACCTAAAATGAAGTGTCCATATCAGATTGAGCCGCATCAAATTCAAGGCCTCGATTATATCCATGTTTTCCCTGTTATTCAAGTAATTCGTATTGAATAACAATATATTACTAACTTAAGTATAAGTACTAAACACTGTCACCATGTTCTATGTAATTAATAAGTTATTATAGTCTATAATATACTAAATAGTTAAAAAATATTCAACAATTTCACAATGTAGTTGGGTGGATTATAAATGGTTAATGAAATAATTTTACATAAACAATATTATTTAATTTGGTAAATAACAAGAAAATTCTAATTTTGATGATAGTGTAATAGTGCTTTTATAATGTTTTTTATTTTAGTATAATATTTACAAAAATCAATTTTCAGTGGTTAGTAAAGCGTTCCATAGAAAAGAGAAAAGAAAGAGGTGAATTTTTGATGCTCTATGCTGCAAATCAATTTGATAAGTTAATTTGTAATAAAAATGTCTTGGAAAGTGAACCTAAACATAAAGAAAAATGTCTCCATCTTAAAGTAAGTAATATAAAAAATAATGTGCTTTACTCTGATCAATTTTAAGTAATGTCTGTCACTGAATATTTTTTTTCTTTAGTTTATGGGTATCAGATTTTTTATTTATTATTTTTAACAAAAAAAATCTAATAGGATACTGATTAACTTAAAATAGTAAATTTATTGTCACATAATGAATAATTTATAGTAGGAAAATATATAAAAAAAAACCTCTTATCCCTAACTTTTTTAATTAAATTAAAATTAAATGTATGTATTTATTTCAGAAATGTTTGACTGGCAATAGAACAAATAAATCCTTTCACAAAGAAGAACAGAGAATAATGGAATGTATTGATGATTCATCTGAACCTGAAAATATAGAAAGTTGTGAATGGTTTATTAAGAAGCCTTTTAATGCTGACGACTTTATTGAAGTAATCAATGTTTATTTGTGTACACTAATTTTTGTGTTATTTATAATTTTTGTATTATTACTGCTTAGACTGTTATGACAAATGAAGAAAAAATCATCAAGTTAAAGGAAGAAAATCAAAAATTAATTGAAGAGTTGGTACACGCTCAAGAGGAAACAAACATAATTGAGAATAAAATAAAAACAATCAATTTGCAGAGTAACAATATGGGAGATGATAGAAGACGGTAGATATTAAAACAACATTTTACTACCATCTGAACACTAAATTAGTTTAATGTTTCATATTAAGATTAATTTTTTTCCAGGGAACATGAAAAAATTAAAATTCTTTTAACCGAGTATGAAAAAGTGAAAGAAAACGAAGAAACATTCCAAAAAGAGTGTGAAATAAAAATGGAAGAGTACCAGAAAAAAATAAAGTACAGCCAGTTTATTCATACTGTTTTGATTTTTTATGTTAATGATTTGGATTTTTTAATTCTGTATTTTATCTTGATTGACTTTTTTAATTTCCAATATTAGTTGATGTGTGGAAATAATTTATAATGTTGCATGTACTAAAAGTATTAACATTTAATTTGTTATTGATGAAATTGTGACATCAAATCTTTTGTTTGTGGAATTAGATGCATTTTATTCACTGCCAACTAATGGAATACTTATACTGTGTCACTATTAGCTCTATTATTTTCAGTTACTTGTTTATGTACTTAATTGTCTCGATATTATAATATTGTGTACAACCATTTTTTTGTTAGGGAAACTAATGCATTGCTCGAAGAACCGGTAGAAGATGATATTGAACTTAAAGAAGAATTAGACAACATTAGAAACATGGTGGAAGCAGCTAGAACGAAATTGAGTAAGAAAGCTAGAGCTGTAGGACTAATGAAACGAAAACTTGATCAAATACCTGACAGAGCTGAATTAGCTCAATATCAAAGACGATTTGTTGAACTATCCAATGAAGGTATTGTTCCTGCATGATTTTTTTTTTTTATTTGTTGATATTTTAAATGTTTTAATCTTTGGTGTTTTATTTATAAATCAATGTTTATTTAGTATCAGCCAGGTATCGAGAGACTAAACGACATTATGCTCTTTACAATACCCTTAGTGATGTTCAAATGTATTTAAATAAAGAGTTATCACTATTGAGTTCAATTCTAGATGCTTATCCAGAGTATGTTGTCAATTGATAATTGTAAAGAATATTTTTTATTGTTTTAATTTTTAAACACCTTTTGTATTTTAGAGCAGAAAAATCACCAGAGTCAAAAGAACGGTTTCTGAGGCAGTTGGAAAACATAGATGTTAGCGTAATACAAACTTTAGACAAGGTAAATTTTTGGGATTAATTTAGTTTTCCACTGAGTCTGGTGAATTTAACAATATGACCATGTTTTTAGGTGGAAAGTAAAAGAAACAAAGAGCAAAGTATTAAGTCTAATCTAAATAACCAGTTATCCACTTATATGTCTGCGCACCGATATTATTTAGCTGCTGTAAAGGAGCTTGAGACTGAATTACAAAAGAATCTTCAACTTCAAGAGCAGATTGATCAACTTTAAATTAAATAGTGAATCAATACACAGTCGTTATTTATTTTTTTATTTATATATATTTTAATTATTAAAACAATTAAAAATGTTTAAAATTGTTAATAAATATTAAATATTATTATGTATAACAAATTTCTTAAATAAAAAAAAAAAAACAAAAAAGTGTGATAACAAATCTATTGTATTAAAGTGTACCAATCTAAACAGCTATGGAGTAATCTGAATGCTTCTGTGGATTGTTATTTGAGACAGGTCTTGACCACAGTGTCGACTTGCCTAAGTTAAGTTTTTTCAATGTGTCTGAGTTGTTGCAGTCAGTCTCTGCTCGACGTGCACTATTTGTTGGGAACAATGATGTGTTGGCCATTGAAGAAGACCTTTTAGATCTATTAGTCGGGAACCATCTAATCAAAACAATTTAAAGAAATTCTGAATAATAGAAAAATAATAATTTTTTATCTTCTATGTGCACCATTTTTTCTTTTTTACCTAGTTTGTGTTCTTCGAGGCAGTGATTGTTGTTCAGTTGGTGGTGGAGATAAGTCTGACGATGTGCTCGACTGTGCCCGGCTGTAAATGAAACCTGAAAACAAATTGCACCAATACGTTCATTCAAAAACTGTTAAAATAAAACAGTTTGTCAACAAACACGAAATGTCAGAAATTGAATATTAAAAATCAGTTAAAGAAAGTTATATTGCAACGTGTTTGTTTATTTAGCGATATCACTTTGGACACTCGCTTGTAAGTTTTGTTTTGTTCAGATGATTGGACGATTCAATCCTACTTGACGTCATATTTTGTTCGACATCAGAATCCGAATCGTCAATATTGTGTGCGGAATGTTTTTCGTACAAATCTTGAGCCGATCTGTCGTGTCTATTTTTGAACATCTGAAATGTTAAAAACTTAATGATAGATACACAATATACTGTTTTATTTTTTTTTTTCCAAATGCTTGTAAAATAGTTATTATTTTCATTCTTAAAATTTCTACTTATCTTCATAAGTAAAAATGTTTATCTTATATTTTTATAAGTACCGTTGGACCATTATTGAATATATTTTGAAACTTATTTCGCATTTTTTGATATTTTTGAGTTTTATAAACCATTAGTTTTATTATATTATATGATACGTTTATTAAAATATATATTTTTGATAAAATTTCTATCGATTTTAATGCATTTTTCCATGGTTTTTTTGTGTATTAAATTCACAATCCTAGTTATAGTATGCAGTAATGGCGCTAGGGAGGGCATTCCGTGCAAATGCCTGATGCCTCGTGATCAGGGGGGTCCCGTGTTTAATTATTTGTTTTTCATAATTTTATGACACCCAGAGAAAAATAATTAATTTATGGCACGTAAATTAAGAATAATTTTTTGTAAATAAGTAATGTAGCCAATGTGCATAGTTTGTAATCATATAGAAAAAATAAAATTAATATTTGTACTTGAAATACCAATTATAGACTATAAAATATAAATTATAATACATTATAAAATATGCTAATATAATTAATATATCACACTTTGATCAACAATAACAACCGATAAAGAATGAATACCTTTTATATTTATTTTAGTATAATTTAATTTATACACTACACACATTGACATATACAGATATAAATATATATATTTTTTTATGTAGCTAACTATTTTGTTTTTATTTTATAACTTAAAAAAGTTAAATCAGTGTAATTTTTTTTGTTATATATGATTTATTTTGATATAAGCTTCATCATTTTTAAAACCAATTGTATTTAATAATTAATTATTTTAAAATATACCTACTTAATTGTGAATCTAATATATAATATATGTATATTTTATAAAAAGATACCTACATTTTAAAAACTAATAAGTACCTAGTAGAATCAACAAAATTATGAACAAAAATTGAAAAATACGTCAATTGTCACAAAGATGTTTTAATTTTGATAATATATTAATATCTATTCTAATAAATTGTATTTATTTAAATAAAATGTCAACTAGGAATAATAAAATAAATCTCTATTGTTAACTGGTAATTAGTATCTAAAATGTGTCTAAAGACTATCAGCTATTATAAATAACAAAAGATCAAGTGTAAGTATTTACCGTCTACTTCCTTAATCATCAAGGGCTCCAAAATACATAGTGCCATTACTGATAGTATGACTACTATGACTGAGTGAGTTACGTACCTTTGGTGGGTGCGAGGGGGGTGCGTAATTTTCATGGACGGAATGCTGGCGCAGTGTGAGATTGTGCAGCATTGGCATTGATCCACGTTGTGCTTCGTCCACCGGAAATGTGGCGTATGGCGATATATCAGCCGACGTCTCTGTTTATCATATTGTAATATTATTAAAATATTCGTACAAACAATTTAACTGACGACAGTGCCCACAGTTCGTTATAAATTATATCATTCCGAGTTTAAAAATCTTAGAAATCGTTTGTTGACATGCATTTTTTTCTGTAATGCTTTTCTGAATTCGAAGTTTGTTGAAACTCAAATTGTATATAATAATGAGAAATCAACACGGTTCATTTTAGTAGGTAACCAATAAACGTTTGATCGTAAACAGAATTTTTGGAAAAAAAATCTTACAATTTTAAAGATATTATAGCTGCGCGTGGCAAAGATGCATAATTTTGACTTTTGGGTAAGAATATGAGTGAAATACGCGAAAATAACAATTAATAAATATTCCAAGAGTATCTCATTTGTATAGTTGCTGAGTGGACAAAGTTAACTTAAAATAATTTCAAGGTTATACTTAAGTAGGCAAAATATACTTTCTTATAACTATATAATTATAGATTTATTTTACCTGTCCCTATTGTATAGAGCATATTAAATGTCTATTATTTTTTTTCTAAGTAGCATTCCATTCAAATTTTCTACTAGATGAACCTACATATAGCAACAGAGTGTATGGCTCTGTCTCATAAATTTAATTTGTATAATATAAAACAATATAAATTCGAGTGAGTGATGGACGAAGTGACTGACTACGGTAACATTACTTCTTCCAATCCTCTACGAGTTGTAATAATGCGATCGGTTGACTCCCAATCCCCATCATGTCAGAATACTGCACAAAGGTGGATGGCGGATCGTGTCGTGTGCAACGTATATTTAGTGGTAAAGGCCAGTTTCTCCGATCAACGTCATCGTACGGATCATAATATATATCTAATATTACGACTGTCAAACCACGGGCATACGTGTTACCTACTGATTACCTATAGAATATTCTATGATCAATGGTGTTATTCGATACTCTATATACCACAACGATTAGGTAGGTATTTGTTTTTTTTGTTTTTACACATTGTTTAAACCATGCCAATATTACGATTATTTCTTAGTTCCTTAGTCAACTTGCAATATAAATATATCGTTACAAAATGAAAAACAAAGTGTTATTACCTCAATACTACACTAGTCCATGTCAATGGTAGCATTAAGATTTAAGTTATCACTGTGGGCACTATGGTGCCATTTACTTAAAATGTAAAAATATTCTTTGTAATGAACTGTATATAATATATAGTATTATGGCTTGGATAGTAATGGATCAAAGTTTTTATAGTAAGTATGCTTGCTATTTCACCTGGAATTTTTTCAGAATTGGTCAGTCCCACTTTATGGATGGTTGCATAATATTTCTGATTCTCTGCATTCCTCCTGTCACGCGTGTCTCCGACACCCTGTGCTGGAACGCTATTCCGTTCTGAAATGTACATTCATGAGTTAAGTGTCAACATAAATGTAAGAGGGTATAAGATCGATGATATAAAGATTGCTGTCTGTCATGACAAAATTGATATTTTGTTTATTTTGTTATGGTGCCTGACTAGTCTGGGTCAATTGAATATTGGTGATATACGATATATTTATACCACAGAGTACAGACTTTATTCTCTACAGTGAGTATAAAATAGATAATTAAAAAGTTCAATTTATTTTTTAATTCTTAATTTTCTAGTTCATTTAAGAATTTAACTTCAGTTTAATTGACTGTTGAAATAACTGAGCTTTTTCAGTTGATTTAAAAATATTAATAAAGTTAAAATTAAAAGGGTTTTTAAAATTTTATGTTTTAATGGTTACGTTAGTTACATAAGCAATATAAATAAGGTTCCTTTTAAATATTTAAATAAAAATAATTTAATACTGTAATTTAGAAATAACTAATTTAATACCATAATTATTATTGTCTGTTATGTTTCTTGATAAAAATTATATCTATTGCCTACAAAATATAGATGTGCACAAATACTATTAATATGATTTATGTACTAATTAAAAAAAGTTGGAACTTTTTTATTATTAATTTATATTTAATTATTAATTAATCATACAATTAGGGAGCTAAATTTATTATTTTTTAACTATTTATCTATAAATCAACTATCCTGTTAAGTTAAGTTTGTTATTTTAATTAATTTACTTACCTTTATTTATTCTTATACTAAAACACATAATATAATACTTAAAATATTCGGAACATGATAGTAATTCACTATTTTAAAGAAAATGCGCATATCGATAAGCACTTAGGTATAGCCGGTATAGGTACTGCAGAGGAACACTGCGTTTAATAAAACGTAAAGATGCCCAATAAAAATTAATACTAATAATAATGTACGTTTAGATCAAAAATCGTACCTAATATTTACAATTTTATACAAAACCCTAATCAGACACGGATTGACTAGAATGCTGGAATGTTACAGCATTCCGTAATAATTAACGTATTTATTCCTGTCGGTAAAAATGTAACAACACAACTGTACAACTTTTAGGAAATCTATTTTTATAAGATTGTACAATTTCGATTGAATGTTTGTTGTAACTTGGTACATATTTATATTTTTAACGTGTTTTCAATATTTTTATAGCAAAATAAAATATCTTAACATTTCATAAATAATCTACATACATTAAATTTACCAAAAAATTTTTGTTATTTGCCCTTTAAACTATTTAGCATCCCGTGTTCTTTTTTATCAGTCTGCGTCTGATTTTAGTGAAAATTTGACAATACTGTA